TGTGTGTGTGTGTGTGTGTGTGTGTGTGTGTGTGTGTGTGTGTGTGTGTGTATGTGAAGTATGTGTGTGAAAGTATGTGAACCGCTTATAACTTTTGAACGGCTTGACCGATTTCATCGCGGTTGGTGCCATTCGAAAGGGCTTGACCAAACTTAGATTTCGAGACCTATTTGGATCGATTCATATCCATAGATTTTGAGAAATCTCCAAAAAAACTAAAAAAAAAATTTTTATCAAGTGTGGTTTTTTTGAAATAACTTTTAAATGGCTTAATGGATCATTTCCAAAAACTAATCAGCTATTAACTCCAAAAAACCACGTCGATCGCCACCAGTCTGGTCAAAATCGGATAATTCTTTCGAGAGATATCGTGAACGAAAGAAAACCGAAAAAAGTGTTTTTTCCACATAACTTTGACATTTCTTATCGGATCGTTTTTGATAAAATAAAATAATTTTTAGAGCTTAAAAAAAACTGCGTCGATCGCAGCATGAAACGTAAAAATCGGTTAATTGGTTAGAGAAATATCCTCGACGAAATATTTGGAAACAAGTGTTTTTTCAACATAACTCCGAAATTTTTTGGAATAACTTTCAAACGGCTTCACTGATCAATTTGAAAAACTAATCAGCTCTTAACATAAAAAAACCACGTCGATCATCGCCAACCGCGTAGAAATCGGTTCATTCATTCAAAAGATATTGCGGTTTAAAAATTTGAAAAATTGTGTTTTATCAAATTTTTATAAGACATTTGAGCTCTATGAGCTCAAAAGAATAAAAAAGTTATCTCTTTATGCTCGAAGAGCTTAAAATAATACATCAATGTTATTTTTGAGCTCGGAGAGCTCAAAAACATCATTGGTGCAATTTTAAGCACCTAGGTATGAAATGAGCAGGAAGTTCCACGGGTTGCCTTGAGGGTCTCCCGTTTTTCTAATTTTTTTACCTATTTTTAACGATTATCTCTAATATCATCGATCTTGTTTTTTCAGACTAATAATAATGGCACCATTAAACGTTGAAGTCTCACCATCATTATTAAGTGTTCATCTTGGTGGTAACGCCGAATTTACTTGCATCGTTAGTACACATTCTCAAGCCGGTCAACACTTCATTACCTGGTTTAAAGATGGAAGACAACTCCCAGGTGCTGGTAGACAATCTGAAACATTAACACTTAATGGAATCAATCGAGAAGATAGAGGAATGTATCAGTGTGTTGTGAGGAGAGGAGACGACACTTCTCAAGCATCAGCAGAACTTCAACTCGGAGGTTTGAGATATTTGTCAACTATCAATTTACAAATGATTTGATTCTGACATAACGTCGATGTAGTTGTGATCTGATTTGAATCGATATTAACGTAATTTTTGTGCGAAAGCACTAACATAAATGGCTTACATATGAGAGATAACATCATCTCTATTTTCCAACCCAGACAATATAACAATACCAACTTTCTTAGGTCAGAAAAGTGAATTTACTTACGTCAGCACGGTCTTTAATATGAGTATGTTCGATTTTTTACCCTCCCAGAAGAATAATTGATTAAGAAAATTCCCTGAAACTTTAAGCTCTTAATATCGCCTCTTAGATATACCTTTAAAAAATGTGACATAGTCTCTTCTTAAGTCTTCTTCGTGAGTCTCTCGATCATACAATCGATATATTCATCGAGCTTCGTGAGTGAAGCATCGCTGAAAGCTTCCAATCAAACCTGAATTTCACTAGGCATGTGTGACATCCAGTGTTCTATAATTTCTGCGTCCTTGATAGACGGCGAAAAATAGTCAAGCACTGTGCGAATCGAAGCACTAACACTGTACAGAACTACCAACTACTCACTGTAAAAAAATTAACGAAAAACTTAAACGGTCTTTCTATAAGAAAGATCACGTCGGGGTCACCAATATAGCGATTGAATATTATAAATTAAATAAATGATCACTAATATATTCGTTGCTTCGAAATGTATTCATCAACAAACAATGAAAAACATAAAATACGTGAGTTCACTCTCAGCGGTAAGGGCTCATTGTCTAGCCCCATGCCCGAGGCCGAGTGGCGCACGACTTTCGGCTGAAATTTCTAAGTTCTATCGATCGGTTATCGAACCGAACTTATGGTAGCACCACATATTCAACGGAAATAGAAAAAATTTTCAACCGCTGTCAATAAATAAATTTTCATTTCTCACGGGCAAAATCAGGCGCCCCTTAAAAAGTAAAAATATTTTTTTTCCGCAAAATTAGAGGAAGCTTGGAAAAAATAAATTTATTATCGACAATTAAGCTGTAAGAACTCACTTTTAGCTCCATGACTGATTCTTTGGTTCTAAAAAATTTTTTGAAATGATTTTTGTTATCACAGAATGATAATTTCGATCTTTTTTACTTAAATTACTGAAAAACGTTCGAATATTCTATAGGGTCTTTCCAAAATAAAAAAAATTTTTTTAAATGAATAGAAGTTCTATTTTTTTAACATAAAAATTCTTTCTCACACAAAAAGAAATTCTTAATCACAGAATCAATTCTCACATAACATTAAATTAGAGATTCCTGTCAATATTCCTTTCAAAATTTTTCTGGTTCGAATAAATTTTTTTCTCTGTGGATCATTCCATGTCAAATCGACCAATAGTTGGAATCGACCCCTTCCGATTTGAATGAAATTTGGTCACAAATTTGCTTTTATCATAAAACAAAGTTGTACCAAAGGAATAAATTGAAAAAATTTTTTTTGAAAAGTTATGCAAAATTCAAAATTTCACCATTTTCAGGTTTTTCAAATTTATTTTTGTAATATCTCGAAAAATATTATAGTTATAGACATGGGCCAACCATGGTATAAAGTCATAAAAATTTATTCCGATAAGGATGATAGATTTTTCAATTGTTTGAGACTTAATTTATTGAATGCTTACTTCAGTGAGACTCTTAATATTGTCTGACCTCAACATGTTGAGAGTAAAGCTCTATTTGAACTGTTTCGGATTACAAGACGTGAAAAAATTATATTGACGTTATATATTTTTGAATATGAGGTTTTGATGCAATACTGTACTTTGAAGACAACTTTTTTCAGAAGTTCAAATTAACTGTAGAGTTTGAACTGACTATGTTTTTGGTAATCGTAATAACTACATGACACCATTCACTTATTAATGCATTTCAACATACAAACAATTTATAGATTATGGATGCCTCTTAACCAATTAAACGAATTATTTCTTTTAGATGCTCCACCAGTTCTTTTATACTCTTTTATTGAACAAACACTTCAACCAGGACCGGCTGTTTCGCTTAAATGCTCAGCAGCTGGAAATCCAACACCTCAGGTTACTTGGACATTAGATGGATTTAATTTACCGACCATTACTAGGTAATTAAAATTTAACACACATTTACATGTTGAAGTGAACTGTTGTAGCCAATTACCCTCTTTACTGATGTTCGAACTACTGCCAGGAAGTTTGCTTTGCTGTAATGTTAAAAATCATATATACTAAAAAAAACATTAGAAAAACGGTTCACCCTAAAGGCCATCCCTGCATCTTCCCGCTAATTCAATTTCTGGGCGCTTAAAATTGTACTTATGACATTTTAAAGATTTTTGAGCTCAAAATATAATTTATGTGATATTTTGAGCTCACTGAGTTCAAAGAAATAATATTTCTATGCATTTAGGCTCTCCTAGCTCAAAAGTCTGATAGAAGTTTCATAGAACACTATTTTTGGAATTTTCAAACCGCAATAACTTTTGAATGAATCAACCAATTTTTACGCGGTTGGCGGCATTCGACGCAGTTTTATCATCCTCATAAGTTATTTTCAGGTTTTCATTGATCAAACCAAAAATTTCGGAGTAATCCCGAAAAAACACTTTTTTCGGTTTTCTTTCGTTCACGATATCTCTCGAACAAATCAACCGATTTTGACCGGATTAGCGGTTATCGGCGTGGTTTTTCAAGCTTAAGAGCGGATTAGTTTTTGGAGTTGATCGATAGAGCCGTTTAAAAGATATTCCAAAAAAACCACTTTCAAAAATGATTTTTTTCTTATTTTTTTTGAGATTTTTCAAGATTTCTTAAAATCTATCGGTCTGAATCGGTTCAAATTCTCAGGAAATCTAAGTTCGAGGAAACTCTTTAGAACGTCGTTTAGTTCGTTCCGATCGGTTCAGTCGTTCAAAAGTTATAAGCGAGTCACATAGTCACACACACACACACACACACACACACACACACACACACACACACACACACACACACACACACCGCTCGGGGCAGAGGAGATACTGCTACCGGGCGCGTCTCTCCGAGCGGATGGGAGAACGCTCGCTGTCCTTGGATGACACTTGGATAATCTCTTAGTTGATGAGGTACAGTGGGTAGGAGCCAAGCAAAATAACCAAACAAAATACGCTCCCGTGGACAAAACTCCCCTTTAATGGGTTGGTCACACTAACTGACCTAACAAGACGAGGGTAACGTTGTTCGCGTCCGTAGGTGCTGCTTTAACACCCTACACGTGCTCTCCGGGTAGTGCTAAATGAACAACAACAACAACAATATGGAAATGTCAGAAAACATTAAAACATTGTCTACAGTACAGAGGAGGGATACCTCAGTGCCGGCGAGGGAAGGCGTGAAAACGGGCCTGAACTCGTCGTTATCAAGCGACCGTTACGACAGCCGGGTGGACCCCATGGCTCTGCTGTCTGGAAATGCTACAGGGAGTACACAAGAGAGAACAATTAACAAGAGTATTGAGGGGCCTCATGCCCAAGAAGCGGCGATAACAGCAAGCGCCGAAATGAAGAGAACAAAAGCACTGGAACGCCTTGAAAAGCTGACCATTGACTTGCAGGATTTCGTCCTACCCAAGGTCAATATTCACAAGGAGATCAAGACAAAGACGACCAGTGTAGCCAACGCCCTGCAAAGATTTAGAACACTGGATGAGGATTGGCAGGCAACACGACGACTAACGCCTCGCATCACGCCAAAGAAAAGCAGTCAAGCTGTTATTGAGACTGAGGAATCAATGGACACCGGTGCCGATGGGGACAGCAAATCTATTGCTGAAGACAAGAGTGAAGGTGCTCCCAAGACTAATAAGAGAAAAGACCAAAACTCGCCAGATCCAACAGAAAGGCGAGTGCCTGGCAAAACGTCCAATCAAGGAAGGAGAAGAAGAGACTAGCCAAAGAGCAGCTCGCAAAGCAGACCTCAAAGGAGCCCAGGCCGGAGCCTAAGCGAAAAAAACCGAGGAAATAGATCAGACCGGATGCCCTCATTATCAGGCTGACAGAGAAAGCAAAGTACGCCGAGATCCTGCGTCGAATAAAACAGGACGTCCCTGATGACCAGGTCCACAGTACGGTAGAGAAGATCCATAAGACCAATGCTGGAGATATGCTGATAACTCTTTCAAGAAAGAGCACCGATAAAGGCCAAACATCAAGAAAGACCATTGCAGACATTCTGAAAGAAGACGCAAAAATAACCTGCAAAGGACCACAAGAGGTAATTGAGATCCGAGACATCGATGATGACAAAACTAAGGACCACATCCAGGGTGCCCTACAGGAAGAAGCTGGAGATGGCTGTGAGATATCACTAGAGGCAATCAAGATCCGTAAGACCTATAGAGGTACTCAAATTGCCACAGTAGTTCTACCAGCAGCAACAGCACAGAAACTACTAGATGGAAGTAGCAAAATCCGGATTGATTGGGTTAATTGCCGAATAAGGGCAACGAAGAGACCTATTCAATGATTCAAATGCTGGCATTTCGGACATCATGGATCCCAGAGCAAAAGCAAGGTGGACCGGTCGAAGCTTTGCATCAAGTGCGGACAAGAAGGGTACAAGATTGCTGATTGTAAAAATCCAGACAAATGTGCATTATGTGCTGAGATTGAAAGTGCAGAGAATGTTGCCCACCATGCCAGTACCTATAAGTGCCCGTTATTTCAGGATGCACTCCAGAAGTTGACCAACAAACAAACATGAGGATACTACAGCTCAATCTCAACCATTGTGAGGCAGCGCATGACCTGATGATGCAATCCGTGCGAGAACTAGAGCCTGCCTTGGTACTGATAGCAGAGCCATATAAACACCTGAGTACCCAACCCTGGGAAACTGACAGCACATCCAAAGCTGTCATCTGGTCATGTAGCAAGCTCCCTTTCCAAAATGCCGTCGACAACAGCAATGCCGGCTGGGTAGCAGTATCAGTAGAGGGCATCCGCTTCTATAGCTGTTACGCACCACCTAGCCTCTCAATTGTCGACTTCACTGATTTCCTGGATCGACTAACCGAAGATCCGAAGCAATATCATCCAGTAGCGATAGCCGGAGACTTCAACGCCTGGGCAGTTGACTGGGGAAGCAAGCATACAAACGCGCGAGGAAAGAAATTACTAGAAGCCTTTTCTACATTAAATGTAGTACTGCTCAACAGTGGTGACACACCAACCTACACCAAAGGAAACGCAAGTTCTATTGTAGATCTCACTTTCCTCACTGACAGCCTCACCAAAGGTAATATCAACTGGAAGCTGATGGATACCTACACAGCCAGCGACCACAACGCAATTCTCTGGGAAATATTAAA